TATTTCATTTTGTACTTCCTTGTCTCACCTGCAGAAGCTCTGGTGTATGTCTATATTTCAGGCCTTTCAGACCTACCCAGGATGGTTTATCAGAGTGGATGCAGGGCTGCGCAGTACTCTTGGGTTTGCTGCTTCCTGGCAATAGCCCTCTTGATTGTGGGAGGAATCGAGATGCCCACTGAGTGGGCAGTGATGAGCACAGTTTTCCCATGGAAGTTCTCCAGTGCTCTTGCACAATACTTCCTGAGACTTAGGTTATATCTGCTGGTTTGTCTTGTCATCTTAAGGAACGGTGGGGTGCCTGCCTGTGAGTTGAAACACAGGTACTGATTAGCGATAAAACATTATGAAACACAGACTGTTTGGGTTTTGGTTTGGTTTTTTTTACTGTTCAGCTGTAGTTAGTAATTTTTTTGAAAGAGGAGGTCAGATTGAGATGAAGTTTGTTCTTTAATTTGCTGAGGCTTTTGGAGGTGTTGGAAGTTCAGTGCATTGGAGCTCTGGTTGCTATTTCTACATTTTGCTTATTTAAAAATCTGTTAAACCATGCCAGTAAGTTGGCAGACTGCACAAGGGGTGTTCTCTTACAGAGGATATTCTTGTCTGTGGTATTGCTTTATGTAGAAAATGCATAACTTAAACCATCAGAATCTTAATGGAGCTTGTGTGATGTAGTCAAAATCATAGAACGATAGAATGGTTTGGTTGGAAGGGACATGAAAGCTCCTCCAGTTCCAACTGGAACCAACAGGTTGCTCCAAGCCCTGTCCAACCTGGTCAGCAATGGGGGAGCCACAGCTTCTCTGGGCAACCTGTGCAGTGACTAAGCAAATTACAAAAACGATTTCAGTGTCAAGACTGTCACTACCAAAGAGTCACAGAATTTCGAAAACTTAAGCACTGTAGCTTTGGTCCATTAAATGTTTATATGGCACACTTGGTAGTAACGTGTTTCCTTACTTGATGTTTCTTTAACAGTTTAGATTATTGCAGGTCTTTGCCTGCTTTTTTTAAAAAAATCTTTATGAAGTTATGTTCTTAGTTTGTGTTTTGTTACAGAGTTGATGAGAAACCTTAGTTTTGGGGAACGTGCCTTTGTTCACAAAGCTTTGGTGTGGATTAGTTGCCATAGCCTCCCCTCTGTGTCTGCACACCTTCAAAAGGTGAGCACACTGTTCCATCTTCATGGGTGTGAGTGAGCACCATCATTTTCATGTTTTCACAAGAAAACCCATTTATTCTTGTGCCAAAACAAAGGGAAACACAGAAGTGTGAATGCATTGCAGGAAATCTTCACACTTCAAAGGATCTATGGGGATCAGTTAACTTTCTGACCCTTCTGGAGGCCAAAGTGAGGCCCCAGCTCAGCCCTTTCATTGCCGAGTTTGACCCTGTACTGTCCATTGGTACCTCTCTTTCCCCTGCTGCCCTTTTCCTAGGATTGAAACAAGAAGTGGGCAGGACTTATTAAAGCTGAAAAACAGAAGCACAGAAAGCAATAAGGAAAGCAGTCAACACCTTAAATAAGAGCCAACTCCTAAACTCTACCCTCTACCGAGGACTACTAGTGACTCCCACTGTGAAAGGCTGGTGAGTTTAAATGGAAAGGGGTGAGGGAATACTCCTACAATGCATTCATATAGCTGCAGCCTCCAGTGGTTGGTTAATGCCTTGTCTTCAGTTTTACTTTCTCTTTCTGGTTAAACACACACCACACACATCCCCATCTATAGCTGAAATTACATTTTTGGTATCTTTTAACGGCAGTCTCTTTGGAAACTTTTAGCAGAATCATGTTCCCAGTGTTGTGGGGGATTTTAGAGTGCAATTGTGAACTTTTTAGGTATGTCTGAAACAGTGCTTCCTGTTTGGTGTGGGTTTCTCTCAGTATAGTAGGCTGCAGATGCAGGAATACTAGGGCTGTGCCAAGCAAGTGGGAGGTGGGGGTCGAATAAGCATCATGCTCACTGCAGAGACCAGCCAGGTTTGGTAAGCACAGATGCAAGGTAAGTTTGGATTCTGCACCAAGAAATAGCTTCCTATATTTTAAACTGAATTACAGGTTTTTTTAGATTTATGTTTTTCAGAGTTGGTGTTGAACTCTTACACATTGTTGGTAGCCCAAATAAATGGGCTGTGTCTGTGCAGACCAGAAAGGAAAGTTGGAAATCAAGTGGAGGGAAAAAAAACCCTATAGGAAATGCAAAAATAGATATTATTTAAATTTGATTAAGTTTCCTAGAACTTTAGAAGTAAAGGCAGAGGGACTGTCTTGATGCATCTTGTTCATATTTGTGAAATATAGGTAGTTGAAAGTAAGACTTCAATAAAATACACATACAGGGAGAAACCATTGAGTCTTCCAGAGAAGGTAGCATGGCAGAGAAAGGGCTGAGGAATGCACTTCCCTTCCTAGGAGCTATGCAACTGAATCGGGTTACTGCTTCTTTTATGAATACCTTCTACGTTTTATGCATGTAAAATATGGTAAAATTTAATTGGGGTGCATATCTATAGCAAACTGTTCCTAGGGGAAATAGCCAACAGACACAGGAGCAAAACGGAAAAATCATAACACTCCTGAGTTTGTTTGACAGTGCAGAGGTTTGGGGGGAGTACAATGGATGCACTGACCAGTGCATGTTACCCTGCCAAGTGCTTGAAGGTTTGTCTTGCTCTGTTCTTTTGGTGTTCTTGATGCTCAGATTGATCACATCTGAGAACGCCCTTGAATTAGAGTTTCAGTAGCTGTTTACAAGTGTGCAGTGTATGCTGTCACGCTTGGAGGCTTTCCTACAAAAGCAGTGAATGACCTGAAGCAATCTAGCTGATGGTGGAAGAACTTTACCAGTTAGATGCTGCTGATGCTCATGCATGCTGTGAACCTCCAGTGCGTCTTTCTATCGTTGGACTGGCACCTTGATTCTCGAAGTTTTTCTGCTTTTGTGTTTTGTAGGCTGTGGAATTCCGGCCTTTCAGATTTAAGTGCCATATGTATACAAGTTTGGGGGTTTGGATAATGGCATCTTTTGAAATGACAGTGCTCTGGCTATTGGAAGCCCTGGCACTTCAGTCTTGGCAGAGCTGAACCTCCTAATCACAGTAGGATACATTTGACCGTGAGAGTTTTTAGTAATGCATTGTGGTGCTTAAAGAGAAATTGCAAGGTAAACTTCCATTGCAGCTTAATTATATTTTTAAGTAAAATTTGATTTACAGGGTGCTTTAAATTAGATTTGACTATTTGGACTTCGGGAATGGCTTTTTGCTTGCATAAATAACAGTTGTTTTTTTTCTTTCATTCTTTCAACAGAGGTTGCAGAACTTGAAGCTAATTTACCTTGTAAGTATAGCATTTAATGGCATGCTTTTTAAGGGGAAAAGGACTATAGAACTGAATGTTTTGACTGAAGTATGAATGCTAATGGAATGAAAGCTGTGCAAAACTCTGCCACTCAGGTTTTATTTGTTGCTCTCTGAAGAGATTGTAGAGAGTACAATTAGTGTACTTTGGAAGCAGTATTGAGTATTTGGCTCCAAAATTTGATTGCTGGTGGAATGGGAGCTTCCCTCTTATAAACCACCCAAAGATACCTGGAACTGAAGAGTGCATTTATAACCTCACTCCTGTTTTTCCTCCATTCCTTTTTTTTCAAAATAAGAGATCTGATTCAGAAAATAACCAGTTTCTCAGGAAACACATGAAGTCAACCTATTGCTTTTTCACTTCGCATGCAATCTGTAACCTCATGAGTGTGTTAATAGTGAAAATAGTAACGAAAAATAGTGGGTTTTTTTTTAAAAAGGGGTCAATATTCCTTTTTTTTTTTTTTTTTTTTTTTTTTTTTAAGCCCTGGCATGTTACGTGTAATGGATGTTATGCTAAAAGCTTAAAACATTAATAGCCACTTTAAAGTAGGCATTTAAGATCACAAAGTAAACGGCTTGTTGCTTCTAAAGCTGAGGGAAGGTAATTCAAAATCAAATATTTTCTGTTCCTTGGCTTTAGAAAGCCTAGTTCTATAATGGACAGCAAAACACAAAGCCCTTTTATAAAGGCCAGTAAGGTTCCAACTGCTCTGTGTTTGTTGCTAAGGCTGGCTGTTGACAATGAAGCTGAGTTGTTGCTGAGCTCTCTTTTCAGGTGTGGACCAGAACAGCATCATTATGCCATGAGTTCTTAGAATGCAGGCCAGCACAACAAATTTTTGCAAGTTCAGTGTTACATTCAGAGCTCATTGCTTGCTCTACAGAACTTCCTGTTGTGCACATTCCTGTTTCAAAGTAACCTAAGATGGTGGAAAGAGGCATGAGCTGCTTGCAGCAGACTAGAAGTATATGTGCAGGTTATTACCGTGCTGTGCGTTCACACTGTCTTGTCCATATGCTTATCTTGCAAGAAAACCTTTCCAGTTATGCTGGCAGGTAGTTTGTGATGTTTTGAGTCTTTCCCCAGCTAAGAGAAGCTTTGACCATATATTTTTCTCTCCAGGTTAAAATTCTGAGTGCTGTTTCTGTTGAGCATCTTCTATTTGGTAGTGATTCTAGATCCAGGTCAATGTTCAGATCTTAAAAATCAGACTTTTCAGTGTACAGACTGCCTGATGGAAGGAGTTACAAGGGCAAAAAATACAGAATAGAAGCAGCAAAAAGGGAGGGCAGGAAGAGGCATTATTTTAACTCTGTGTCCTTCTTTCTTAAAGGCAATTACAGAGATTTCAGAGAATAATGAACTTTTTTCTGTAGACTCTTCTCTAGGATAACAAACACCAGGGAAACATGTATCAGAGTTTGTAGTTACTACAATGTGAATGGATTACTGCGGTTTATGTATCTGATATTATTTGGCTCCTTGATTACAGAAAAAGAACAGCCATCCTGATTGGGTTAAGAAGCTGAAGGCTGCATAATATGGATAATAACGTATCCATGCATATATACACCTTCTAGTACCAGATTGACAGCTTGTCTCTGTCCTGATCCAGAAAAGCCAGTTTTGTGCATGGGAAGGCAACTTGGTTTCTGTCATGAAATGCAAACAAAGGGCTGTTATGCTGTGAACTTGCATCTCTTGAACTGAAACTACTGACTAGTTTTATCAGGTTGCTGCTTTTTTCCACACTTGTTCTTCATTCTCACTATTCTCCTTAAATTCATCTAGTCTGAGAATAAAAACAGTGTTTGGTTTGTAATGATGTTAATACATGTAATTGGTTATACAGAAGAAACTTGTTCAGTGTAACAGCTGAGCTGGCTTTTGGATGAGGCTTTCAGTAAAACTGGTATCTCATTATACCCTACAGGTATAAATAATCTTTTGTTAGTATAGGGCTGAGGTGGCATGACCTCTTGCAGGCAGCAGTGTATAATCAAATGCTAAGATACACACGTTACCATTAAAGAACTTGTAAGGAAAAGATACTCATATTCTGTAGGCTGTCATCTTAACATGTAGCTACTATCTATGCAGAAAACCAAATCTCTTGGCATTTTAAGGTATTTGAGACAGCATGGATTCCTGAAAGGAAATAAGCTGCTTCCTCAGCTCAAAGAAGTGAAGTTCCATTACTGCAGGTGACTTGTAGCAAGCAGTATAGGGAGGAGGTGCTTAGAAACAAAGCGTAAGAGGAAATCACTTGACTGGAAGGTAGGGATTAATCAAGGAATGAACTTGGAGAGTATGAAAGATGATATACTTGCTTTCCCAACAGTGGAAAACCAATTGTCTGATGTAAATTATATTTTTGCTTCACAGGTACATGTAAAGTGAATTTTCCTGACCCGAACAAGCTTCATTACTTTCAGCTAACTGTAACCCCAGGTAATTCTTTAAACATGGTACTTTTGTTTCTGTGTGTGTTGGTGTTAAGGAAATGTAATTCCAAGAGTTTGTTCAAGAATCAAGTGAACTTCCTGGTCACAGAAAGACTGGCTGTAATACAGTGTTTATACAGAGTCAGCGGAGAAACTGGGCTGAGAAATTTCTTCAGTATGACAGCTGAGCTGGCTTTTGGATGAGGCTTAATTTTGGGAAGTAGATTCCAATAAAAAGGCCATCAGAACTGAGCAGGTGTAGGAAATAATCAGGTCTTGTTTGTTCACTTTTTTTTTTTTTTTTTTTCTCTAAGCCAATTTGAAACCACCTTGTTTTATTTGCTGAGAAAATTATTGGACCTCATCTAGATAAAGTGCTAGATTACAGCCTTGTTACAGATTTAGTCTTACTGGTTGCTTGACTCTGCAGAGGTAAAGAAGCAGATGACAGATACAGCCCTGCTGGAAAACTTCACATCTGTGCATGTCTGATGATGCTTAACAAGCAGGAGTCTCTTAGTCTTTGAGTACTCAAGTATGTGGAAATATCTCTTATTGTTAATGCAACTTAAGCACACTGAAGCTTCTGCTGACATGCTGTTCAGTAAAAATGTTTTCAGAATTTACTATTTCCACGTAAGTTTCTTAATAGCCATCTGAAATGGCTCACATAGCTGTCCATTTTAGAATAGGAAGTTGTGCTTGTGTTCTATGGATGAATTTTTATGGAAGATTATTTAAACTTCATGTGCACTTCTTTTTGCTGTGTGTTACCTTTGATACTCTCTGCAACTACTTAAATGAGAACATAGACACCTTAGTACACTGAATTGAGTTAGATGTGTCAGGATCAGTATCTCCCTGACAACTGGTTCTTGTAGAGGCACATTTTCAACAGAATTCCAATGCAGTATGGCATTCATCCTGATGTTTTACCTATAGAAATAAGGTTTACACTTCAAAGAGTGGTAACAAGGTTTCTGATAATCCAGTATCTTGAAGTCAAATGAGCACTAGATGTCACTGTTGCTGCTTATTATCCAAAATCCACTAGGACTTCTAGGCAGTGGAGATCTTGGGTGGTCTTTGTTAGCATGTCCATTCATGTGACTCCTTTTTGTGATGGGAAAATGAGTAAGACTGCCCTAGTCACTGTAATAAAGAATAAATGCAGGTGCTGTTACAGGACTTTTAACCTCTCATTCTGTGTAGGAGATGTATTCATGCTTGCTTGGTGAGTGTTAGTCTGCTTGCCCCAGTTTATGTGATGATCCTTTATTATATTTTGCAAATGAGTTGACTTTACAAGATCATCACTGTGTGGGTTAGGGATGTGAAGCAATGATAGCCTCTTCCTACTAATTCTATGGTATCTAAATACATAGTCATTTTTGTTCTGTTAACTGCTGTGGAGGAAGATGTTGCAGTCAGAAGACAGTAGTTGAATGCAGAGCATGGGTTTTGTGCTAGCTTCCTCACTGAAATGATGTGGGGAATGATATGATCTTAATTAACATTTTGTTACTCTAAATATAGCTGCACAGCTGAAGTCTCTGCAGTTGCAGTCTGACCCAAGTAAACATCTATTTTCAGCTGTGCATAATTCAGGTACAGAATCTTGTGATCAGATACAGCTTAGTACAGCTTTCCAAAGGCAGAATGGAACACATACCAAGAAAATCTTTGTAGCTTTCTGATTCCCTTCATTATTGAGGTTTTTTCTTTAGAGTATGCTAAGTCTGAGTTTTCTTCAGGATAGCAGAGGCAGCTAAGTGGTCATCACAGAATTTTTCTGGCTCAAATGGCCCAAAATCTTTGTTTGAGGCAACTATTTTTGTAGTGTCTAAGCAATGTTGCATGAATCTTGACAGCCCAGAGGAAGAACCTGCTTTCCTCCTGCCGACAACTCTCTTACATTGAGGAACTCAGTTCCTCAATGCAAGAGAGCCGGGGCTGGTAGTCTGCACAGGAAGGAGGCTGTTGCTGGCTCTTTTAAGGTTCTTGGTTTGCTTATCTGTAGTTACACAGGTTGCATCCTTATATGATAGATCTGGTAGAGGCCAGTGCTAATTCTTTTCATATCTTATGTTTCAGTTCTTTTATATTCTGATTAATATGAGAGCTTGAATTCTGTAACCACATTTTTATAAGGAAGCTTACACCAAGCCAGTTTCTGAAAGTAGCTGGCTGTCAGGGTTCCATGAAGGTACTGACTGAACATGGTTTTTAACACTAGGGATGCCTTTTGTAGTCAGTGTTCTAGCTTTATGTTGTTGACAAAGCCTGTGCTCAGGTGCTTTGTTTTATGCAGTCTGGGCTTGAAAGGACAGGGAAAGAAGCTTCTTCAGATTCTCACAGAAAGACTAACTTGAGTAAGAAAATAAAGTTTATCACCAAAGCAGAAATACTTTCAGCTCCCTTGGTCTGCACTTCTCATAATAACCTTTCTTAGTAAATATTTAATGTCACAAAATTATCCTAGTGACAGTTTTTGAGTTTGTAGAAAATCTTATTGAAGGTGACTTCTTATTTTGTGTAATTAAAGAAATTCCAGTTTCTTTACGTTATAGATTTCTGCAGTGCACGCTGAGTGGATATATGCTAGAAAATGGGTAAAACTTAGATTTTACTGCCACAGAAGACAAACTGTGTGTTCCTGAGACAGATACTGCCTTTCTCTGCTGTCTGAAGCTGCTTCTTCCTTTTGTTATCTGAAACAATTGCTCTTTTTAAAAAATGCTTTAGGCAGACTCTTGCCTCTCTTCTTATTTTTGTACCAGTTGGATCAGAACCTAGGAAAATTAAGGAGATGCTTGTCATGCAGGCAGAGTCCTGCCTGCTGCACTGATATTTGGAGCACAAAATTGGAATCTGAGACTAAGGTGAGTTTTAGGTAGCTTACACGTGAAGAAAACTGTAGGAATATGTGTAGCTAATGCAGTATCACTTCATTTTCCAGACAGTTGGAGTAGTCTGGGGTTAGTGTGGTTATTCAGAGCCCAGTTCTTCAGGGAATTAATAAAGAGCCTGTTCTCTGTTTTGTGTGCTGTAAAATGACAAATGTCAGTGAGCATGGCTGAGCATTTCAACGCTGCGAATTCAAGGAGCTGCTATCAAAAGCACATCCTTTGTGGCTTGTCCTAATTATCTTGCATTTTCTTTTAAAGTGATAAAATGATTTGATTTAGTATTTTCACAGTAATTTTAGCCATCAAAATGCCTTATGAATGCAAGCTGAGATTAGAGTCAAGATGTTGATAATGAAACTTCAGACTGAAGTGGGAGAGATGCTGGCTGTTAATGCAGCTTGCAGACATAAATTTAAGTGGTAGGAGGAGAACTGGAGCTCAGGTCTTTACAAAAGTCTCATCACTGGCCAGCTTCCTAAGTCATGTGCTAAAACTATTTTGACAGTTTTATGTTTGATTTATAGCACTTTTCCTCACTATTAACTCTGCCAGAACTTGAGTTTTTCCCACCACTGTTCCATGCCAGAAAATTGAGGGTCTTTGTCCCAGTCTGTATGGATGCTGTGGGATACAGGGAAGGAAACTACCACATGGGAGAACCTGTTTACTTCCTTGAGATGCTGTAAGATGACTTTATTCTGAAGGCTTATCTTGTTAATGCATTGCAAAGTTTCTGGCTGGGTACTGAGGCCCTCTAGAGAGATGAATGTTTAATGTACCTTTGGGTGATGGGTAATGAGTAGCATGCTTTATTGTGGCTTTAGTGAAAAAACTTACAAACATACAGGGAGAATTGAAAAGAAGGGTGGGGGGAGAGATGCTTTTACTCTTCTGATTTGGTAAATATGTCCTTGCTTATTTTATAACAGAGCCAGTAGCATACCCAGTGCATTTCTTTGTTAGTGCTAGCATGGACGGATGCCAAGGTAAACCTGAAACATAAAGTGAGTTTTAATGCAAGACAGTGTTTAGTATTGAGTTGTTTTTGAGGGAGACTTCATTGTGGAAGTATGTGGAAATGACCTGCAGCGTGAGGCACAATGTATAAAGTGCTCTAAGTCTTCCAGAGATTGCTCAGCCTTACATAGAACACAGGAAAACAGATAAGAGGAGAGTTAATACAGGAGGTATCTCTTACAGCTTGTGGAGGTGTTAATATGTGGTTAGAAAGTGCTTGAGCTAATCTAAACCATGGTTTTGTTAAGGAAAAGGGGTGTTGTTTCACCATCTGGTCCTGCTGTTTCTTTTCTGTTGATAATTTAACCCTCTGCATGCCAGTTCATCTCCATAATCCTGCAGGAAACCCTGCACTCTTTTTGTGGTTATGGTTTTATAAATTGAGAGAGGCTCAGCTGGTCTTGCACCCTCCTGCACCAGCTGAACTCACCTTTTCTGATATCATCCTGCGCATGGACACTGGGAATTTCTTCCATGGCTGGGTAGATGTGAAGCTATCCTGAGCTAGGTCTGCATGGTGGGGAAGAACAGAGAAAATGAAGACAAACTGTTTAGCTTTTTTCCTCAACCCATCCATCTCTTGAGCAATGCTAGAGTGATCTTTGTCTGTGCTTGGAGTCATGGACCTAACTTAATGTTCCTGCATGCTGCTGAGGCTGTGGTCCTCATGGTTTTGGTGTTCAGAGATGTGGAACATGGCTTTTCTCTTGCTGCTTGACTGACAGGAACGTTACAGTCTTTTGGCGTGCTCTCCTCCTTGGGAGCTGTTCTCAAATGTTTCTTTAGGACAACTGTATTACAGCGAGGATTCATTACACCTGAGGATTTTCTTTGACATAAGGCACATCCATCAACAGACACCTATTTCATATGAGCAGGGGTGGAATATGAGCTGTTGCTGCACACTTTTAAGTCCACAAACTCAAGGAACCAGTGAAAATAAGCCAAGGAAAATAACTTTTTTTTGCTGCTGGATTTCCTGAGCAACCTTAAGTGCTGGTGCTTCTCCTTTATCTTGCTATACCTGCAGCAGGCTTCTCCCTATGCAAACACATGTGAGTGTTTCATGCGATTGAGAAGGGCTTGTGAGCCCATAGAAGGCTTTGAGGTACATGGCTTGCACTGTAATAAGCACTTAATTCCTCTATGGTGTGGCTTGTTTGTTTTAGTCCTGGCACTGAAAGACTGGAGATGATTCCCACTGTTTTTTACAAGGGATGACATCATACTTGGAAATGGTGAGGATTCCTGACACTTGATTGAAAAGCTATTACAGTGTGCTAGATGGTGAATGAAGTGTAGTTAGCTGTGATCTGGAGGGTAACGTGGTGGTACGTCAGCTGTTTGAACTCCTGGGGAATATTGGACCATTTTCCTTATCATTCCTTCCTGGAACAGTGAGTGTCCCGCTTTAGGTATTTTGCACATTTGACAGGGAGCAGTTTCATCAAAGGCATATTGGTATCACTCACCTTTTACATCTCATTCATTAGAAATGGCTTCTTTACTATTTTTTTTTATCTCTGTATACTCAAAAACAAAAGAGAAATGCTTTCGTCTTGCTTTTTTTCTTCCTTTCCATAAAAATCAGTGCATGTGGATTTACTTTCTGGTAAAGCATAGGGTGCATGAAAGGACTGCTTAATAAATGAAACACTTCAAAGTTTGGATTGGAGTAGCAATGGAGAATGTATTTGAAAAGCCTGTGTTCTGGCCAGGTTATTAAATTGAGATTTGCAGTGGCTAAAGCTTGCACTGCTCAGTGTGGAGGCTGCTGGAAACATTGCTGTGTGGCGTGGGAAAAACCAGCCACACTCTGTGCCTATACTGCTGTTGCAGCCCAAACTTTCTGATGCTGTTCATGTACTGAACTTCTTGCAGTCTGTACAGGCGCCTGGGAGAAGCTGGACTGTGGTGGTGTCCCAGCAACTCTTTTGCTGTTCTGCAGGCACAGATTCTTTTATAGTGATGTAGTGTGCAGTTGAGTCTCATCTTTTGGCAGCATCAGCTTTTGCAGACTCACTTGCCCCTACAACTGAGGATTTGTATTATTTAACAGAGTGATGCTGTCTTGTTTTCAGTAAGCAAGCTGATAAGAGGTTGCAAAAAGGAGGAGGGCAGGAGCTGACTGCTATCTTGTGATTCTGGCAATTGCAGTGTGGAAGCTACAGGCTTGTGCTGACACTGGTGAGATTGTAGCATGGACTGAAACTGAAACAAGTGATACGGGGCAATGGTTGGTAGTAGAAAATAGAAGGTCATGCTAGATCTGTGTAGGGACTGGGAATGCAACAAGTCCAGAAGACAGAAAGCATCCTGGAAGAGGGTTCTGATGACCTGTAGCAGAGGAGCTATTTTTTTTAGTGGTTTGGAACAAGCTAGATAATAAGAAAACTCTTTTCTATAAACTATGGACCATTTCACACAATGTTCCTTTGTAATGTTGCTTTAAAAAATATACTGATATACAGTGATAAACAACCTTCCTTACCTTCAGACCTTCACCATGGCTACACTGTGTGATACAGAGAGCTAGAATATGCAGGGTAGTTTGAGCCTAAGTGTTCCTTAGATGTCCCACACCCCCAGTGTGGGCTGGGTACCTGTCTGTTTCCCTTTCTTAATGAAAGGCACATTTCAGACCACTTGCAGGCATTTCTGCTTCCAAGCACAGCCTTCTCAAGAGTTGCAGGCTGACTTGATACCTGTATTATCTCTGGTTAACTGCAACTAGATATTTTCTGATTTCTTATTTTAAAATTTAGCCATTTTAATAATTCACTATTGAGTCTGGGGCTGACAGACTCTCCTAACTCTTAGATCATTCTAAGATAACTACAATAAAAGAGCTGACTTGCTCTTTTATTGTGGTACACTTCAAAGCATGCTTTTGCACACCGCTGTTCATACTACTCACATTATGTGATTGCTAGCACAAGATGTGCTGAATCCTGGAGCAGGATTTAGCATGCATTAGCAAGTGAAGTATGTATCCAACCTATTCCAAGGGTTGGTGTTGTGGTACTGCATGCCATGTGGCTGATGTGTATCCGAATTTTGTTCATACAAACATGAGAAATTCCATCAAAGGTTCCGCTCTCTTGGCATTGCCTGGTAGTCTGGTGAGGAAGGTGGACTTTCCAGGGTCATTCTGGGACTGTTGACTCTTCTGGCTTAAAATTTCTGCTGTAAAGGTGTTGGGAGTGGAGGAAGAGACCATGTTCACACTCTTTTGGGGCTTGGTTGCAGCTAGTGTTATAGTATAACTAGGTTAAGTATTTGATGATAACCGTGTGCCATTATTTTAATCTTTGTAGCGACAGATCTTTTGTATTATATCGTGTCTGTTATTTTCTCTTACTTAATTATTATCCTTGTTTTTTTTCTTCTCTAGATGAGGGCTATTACCAAGGTGGAAAGTTTCAGTTTGAAATTGAAGTTCCTGATGCCTACAATATGGTGGTAAGTATTTGTCACTAAGCTAATAGCTATCAGTTTAGATTTCCTTTCCAGGTAACAGGACTTCAGAGGGAACTTGGCATTGAGAGTAAGCAAACATCTTCTGTCTGTTACTAAAATATGGGTTTGTAGGAAAATCTTTGCTTGCTAGAGTTTTTTGGGGGTCATCTAAATTCCTGCTAAAAGTTGGGGTAGTGTTAAAGTTGGATTTGATTGCTCAAGGCCTGGGCAAGTTGGCATTTCAAAATCTCTTAGGATGAAGGTTCCACTGCCTCTCTGGGCCTCTGTTCCAATGTTTGACTACCTTTGTTGTGATCTTTTTTTTTCCCCTATATCGTGTAATAATTTATCTTTTCTCAGCTTGTCTGTGGCCTCTTAATCAATTACCGTGTACCTCTAAGAAGAGCCCAATTGCATCTCCTAGTAGAACTGTAGACAGCAGTAGGGTCCTCACCTTCAGCCTTCTCCAGGCTGAGTAAATCCAGGTCCCTCAACTCTCCTTGTGCTGTGTGTGCTTTGATCTCATCACCATCTTTGTGGCTGTCTGCTGGGCTCACTCCAGTTTGTCAATATATCTGGTACTGGGGAGTTCAAAATGGGACACAGTAATTCCAGATGCAGTGTCCTGAGTCCCAGGGAGTGGGAATAGTAATTTTTCTGGCTATTCTTTTACAGTCCAGTGTTTGCAACCAAGCAGCCTTGAGGCTTGTATTGCCTCGATATTACGTGCCTTAAAGAGTAATTACTGGTAACTCTGTGGCAGAAGCTGCTTGGGAGCACAGATGGGATGGACCTGAGAGTCTCTCTTGTGGCTGAGGTGCCACCCTCATCTGTTCTCTCCTGTTAATTGTTCTTGAGATTGTCATGATTATTCTCACAAAAACTGGCATATCTAAGAGAAAAGGATGCAATAAGTGAACAAGGGCCTCTCTGCGGCCTTCAAACTGGTGCTTAGAGTTCTTATACTGGATTTGGGTGCTTAATCCCTGTTGAGAGCATGCAGTGGAGGACATGGAAAGCACAGATGTAGTGAGAAGTGGCCTCCTTTAGTGAGCTCTGCCAGTTCTACTGATTGTCTCCCAGGCCATTCAGTTAAATATCTTTGCAAAATAACAATGTCAATGGTTATTAAGCAAACAGCTTTTCAGAAGACCTACATATGATCGTGGTGTCTTTTATAGATAAATAGAAAGCTCTTCATAGCTTGGTCTTTTCAGGCATGAGGAACGTTGGTATTTCATTATTGTACTTTATTTTGCAAGGGAGGGGAGATGCAATTGTGATAAAAATATCATCAGACGTTATTTTCCCAGTTTAGCTCTAAAATTGGGCAATTGGGGCCCACATATGGTTGTCAGGAATTAAGCCTGCCATTCTGTATCCTGATAGTTTGATACCTAAGGAAACTCGACTCATTGGTTTCAGTATTTGCGGTTAGGTGTATGAATTGCAGGAACAAGGAAGCCTCATTTTCTTTAATTTGAGCAGTTTTGATAATTTTACTTGCTTTTGTAGTTTTTTTTCCCATCCTTCTGCTTTCTTACTTTTGGTGTTGATAGTTCTGAGCTCTTCTTTCAAAGAGGCTGAAGAATGCATAGGGGAGGACACTGGAGACCTTTGGCTTGTGTTCACAAGCACCATGCTGAAATTCAGCATGATATATGTGTAGTAGCAGCAGTCTTAGTGTTATTTATATACAGATGAGAAGGAGGTGCAGTGGTCTGAAATGTAATTGCTTGAATTCCCAGACAGAACTTGGAGAATGGCTCGTTAACAGTGCTAGTAGAGTAGAAAGATTATGTTTCTGAAAGCAGAGGAGTTGGGTTTGCATTCCAGAAGATACCTTCACAAGTTTCCTAATGTTCCTTTATAGTCCCTGAATATATACTTTTGACAAGGGCCTGTAGGGACAGGACAAGGGGGGATGGCTTTAAACTGCCAGAGGGGAGACTGAGATGAGCTCTGAGGCAGAAGTTCTTCCCTGTGAGGGTGCTGAGGCGCTGGCACAGGGTGCCCAGAGAAGCTGTGGCTGCCCCATCCCTGGCAGTGTTCAAGGCCAGGTTGGACACAGGGGGCTTGGATCATCCTGCTCTAGTGGAATGTGTCCCTGCCTTTGGGAGGGGGTTGGAATTAGGTGAGCTTTAAGGTCCTTTCCCATCCAAACCAGTCTGTGAATCTACGGGTCATGCACTAAAACTTATACAAAGTTCATGCGTGCAGAGAGCAGTAGCATTTCTGAAACAGCTTTGAATTTGCCTCTCCTTCCTTAGTAGGGTCAGTCAGATTATCTGCTCATGCTGTTTGGGATTTTTCTGTTTTGTTTAAGTGTTTAGGATCCTGGCTGTCATTATTGGTACACTTAGTACATGTAGGCGTGTTAGTGTTTATGTTGTGTGGTTTGGGTTGTGTTTTTTTAAGTTCCCCTTAACATCACCAAAGCATTTCACACTATAATACAGGCCACCCACACTTGTCACACTATAAATGCAAAGGTGGTCACTTAAGGCAGATTAACTACATCCTTGTTCTAACTTGAATAAATTGTTCCATCCCATACCTGAGAAACATGGCCCTTGGTATAACGGAGGAAACCCTGTCATGTTCTTTGCTGTCATCTTCAGTAACAGCAGTTTAACTGCTCTGGCAATGTTGGGCACAGGGGAATATACACAATATATACTCATTATAATTTCTGAAAGTTTTGTGTTGAAAGTGTTTACCTAAACAACACTGCTGCAGGAAAATGTGGTTTGTTAACAGCGGAGCTGAATGTTAATTTGGATCTGGATTTTTTTTTTTGATTCTCGATTGCTATAATTAAAAAATCTTGTGGTTTGTTACAGTTTTCTGGTCAGAAATTCTACAGTAAATGGTAATTATGGTTTTTAATGCAAAAATAAAAATTTACCTTTTTGTAATTTAGGGGAAAAATTAAAAAAAGCAGTAGGTTGAATGTTGGATTATGGTCGGGTTATAAATGAAAATGTGTATATTAACAAATATTGAGATAATTATGCTGAGGCCATGGTTTGTTTTATACCAGGCAGATGAAGACTGAGAAGTGATGGCAGTGTTCTTAACAGAGCTCTTCAGACCTGCCAGTGCTCTTTCAGCCCATAAGCAAGGTTGGGATATTGCACATCTGCATCTAGCTCCTTACAGTACTGCTAAATGTGTTTGTATTAGGAATAAAAAAGACCAGACAAGACTGGCAAGTTGTCATAGCCCTGCTTCAGAACCTGCATCCATTTTCTAGCTAATCTTTTCAGCCTGCAGTAAAAAACACCTGTTTTTAAAGCTACAAAATGCATAATTTATAGTCTGGTTTATATAATAGCATCCTTTAATTTCTGTAGCATGCTGCTATCAAAATCCTGTGTGTTTGCTGCTCCTCTGGAGGAGAATTCTTTTTTCAGTGCTTTCCTCATAGGAAAGCATTCTGCTTCTGCGCTTGGAAAAGAAGTGGATGTGCAGAATGGTGGTGTAGTGGAAAAGTACAAGAGTATATAACAAATGAGGAAAAACTTGGAAGATTTTGTGTTGTGGATTGCAGCCGTGGTGTATTACTCTGACCAGGAAATAAAAGAATGGGAAGCTGGTTTGGAAACTAGTGGGTCTGTGAACACAGAGAAGTAATGTATCCTTGGGCTTTAGGTATGACTGACGAGGGATGCTTTGGAGCAAGCACTGCTGTGAAGTGCTGCCTCTTGCCTGTGAACAGAGCACGCAGTTGGTTAGGCCTTACTCAGACTTCTGTGTACATTGATCCGCCATACTGAGGATTAGAAATGTTTATTATTATCTGGCAATAAGATATAATAAGAGTTCTTCCACTGTATCTATAATAAAGTGAACCTATTTAGGCTGTTGGAGAGATGGATTGTTTTAGAAGCATCTGAGCTTGAGAACTGGAAAGGGTTCCTATTTTTTTCATCACCTGTTGGAGGCATGTGGATGGTTCAGATAGATTTGTGCTACAGTGCTAGCACTGATTCTTCATTGATTCCTGACCGATTTCTGCTTGCATATCCGTATGTGCATGAAATGGCCCTTAATACATTGCATACTTTCCAAATGTACTGTTCTTTGTCATTAACAGGTGTAAGAGAGAGAAGGAAGGACTTTTAACAATGTAATATATTACTTACTAGATAGCCTGTGGGCTGTTTTCTTTGATGGTGATAGTGTATTGTGTCAGAACAGAAGGCAATTGATGTTGATACAGATGTTGCAGAGGGATCATGAGAAGAAAACTGGAGCAGGGTTAGCTAATTCTGTAGTGTGTTCTCAAACCCACCATGCCATTAGAAGTATTAAAATCTGTTGGTAAACCTGTCACTTAGCATTTTAAAGTATTATGCTTGTTAGGCTGCACATCCATGAGTTTTTCTGTAAAGCAAACAGAAGTTTGTTGGTGTTTGTGCTTACAAAATCTGCTGGGAATGTTGCTGTCTATACAGACAGGAAGCTGTGAAACAGCAAGCAAAGCATTTAATGGTGTACACAGCAAATGCCTTTAGCATCAAGTGCTGTCGTTCGACCTCTGGATCCGCAGCATCTGTTCCCCAAGCACTGCTGTTTGGTTGAGCAGCTGCCTGGAAGTAGAGGTCAGAGGGAGATGGGAGCAAATGTTTAATAATAATGACAATAATGAAATAAATCCAGTGACCAAGGGATTGATTTTTCAGAAACAAACTCTTCTGCCTTGAGGTGCAGGTGATGAAATAATGGGTGCTACAAGACTAGGGACTTGGTGCTTTAAGGAACCTGATTAATAATACAGATCTGGTTTAATGTTCACATAAAATTGAACTCCCTGCCACAGCAAGTCAGGCCTTGTTTGCAGCTCCCATGGCTCTGACGTGCCATGTTGTCAGAATAGACAGCCTTAGAGGCTCTCCAGTTTACGGATATTTTTATGAGGTGCTTTAGGCAGCGATCAATAGTCAGGAGTTTAACTGCAGAGCTGCTAATCTTGGCCTTTCTTCTGCCCAATGATAGTTGTGGAAACAGCAAGCAATCCAAAGGGATTTGGTTCCTGAACAATCAGATGTTACAATTAAGGGGCCTCTATCAACCTCTTCGGTGACCATGCTTCGTAAGTCTTGTTTTGGAACTGATGGAATGGGAATTGGGTTCAAGCTCCATCATGCCTCTGCCTGGAACTTTCGAGGCAGCACAAGGAAGCTCAAGACTTGGAGTACTTGACACGAGCAGTTCTTGTGTCGAGATCCACTGCTACTGTAAGGCAGCTCTTCTTCCTCTGTTTGAGCTGGCTAACCCAGTCCATCAAAAGCACAGGGCAGTATGGCCTCATTTTCCTTGACTTGTGTCTCTCTACTACATGCTTAACTGTGTTTGGTGTTCAGTTTCATCTGATCTCAAGAAGTTCTTCAAGAAACTGGTAGGGGAGAGTAGCAAGAAATGCCTGGGGTAGCTTGTAGCTTGGTCCCTGGAACTTGCATTTCTATTAATGCCTCTTGGGGTGTTATGTTTTGTAGAAACAGTAAAGAAAAAAACTGGAGTCTTAAGACATTTCGGAAGCTTGTTCTGCAGAACTTCCACCAAAACTGAAGTTCGTGTATGTCTAGTTCTTGAATGCTTGTAATGATTGCTTGTACCATTTATATTCACTGATACGTTGAAGTAGACTGAGAATGTGAAAGACATTTTTCATTATCAAAACTAATGAGAGATCATAAAGGATAAGTGGCTGCTTAGAAAGGGAGAAGAAAATTAATCCATTCCATGTTGTGACCCTCAGTTAAGCCTGGATATACCTGTGCAGCTTTCAGTATCTGAGGTAAAGAGTTTGAGGGATGAAATAAATGGGTTTTGTAAGCTTTGTTTTGCAAAATGTTATGTGTGTGACATGGAGACAGTTGAATGTATTCAAGTGAAACATCAGCTCAAGGAAATCCTGTGTGAATTTGGTCTAAAGAAGACTCAAAGATGACTTGAAACAAACTCGAAGGAGAAGTTTTGTCTGAAGAGAAATTTTATGACAGTGCTGCAGTTGTCCTGTCTGACTAACAGGAAAAGGAGAGAGAAAAAGAAAACTTTGTTTTACTTTCAGGAGTGGAGTTTTTTTCCTGATTTGTAGCAATGGAAAGCACTTTGAAAGGATAAGAAGATTCCATGGTACAAAAAATGAGAACAGTTAATTCACCCTGAGAATTTGGGGCGCTTTTTTTTTTTTTTTTTTTTTTTTAAGCTTTATCGTAGAGTTGTAGGAACATAAAATAATAAAATGGTTTGCGGGGGCCCTGTCATGGGCAGGGACACCTTCCACTAGAGCAGGTTGCTCCAGGCCCCTGTGTCCAACCTGGCCTTGAACACTGCCAGGGATGGGGCAGCCACAGCTTCTCTGGGCACCCTGTGCCAGCGCCTCAGCACCCTCACAGGGAAGAGCTTCTGCCTCAGAGCTCATCTCAGTCTTCCCTCTGGCAGGTTCAAGCCATTCCCCTTGTCCTGTCCCTACAGGCCCTTGTCCAAAGCCTCTCTCCAGGTTTCTTGTAGCCCCTTTAGGCACTGGAGCTTCTCTAAGGTGTCCCCTTCAGGAGCCTTCTCTTCTCCAGCTGCCCCATCCCAGCTCTCTCAGCCTGGCTCCAGAGCAGAGCTGCTCCAGCCCTCGCAGCATCTCTGTGGCCTCCACTGGACTCGCTCTAAGAGGTCCATGTCCTTACTTAATTCATATAAAGCTTACTTTTTCCTACTTATCAATGCATTCCCTGTTTGAAGGTGCATATGGTAGAAATTTACTTTTTTATCTTGATCTACTGGCATGGAATAAATACTGCTCCTTTCCCTTCCTTGAGAACTAGACATTATCCTTCAAAGCAGTGTGCAGGTGTAGGTAATGAAAAACTGTCCTGTTCAAAAACTTCTAAGAACATTTGTTTTGAAGGTAAAAAGTTTGAGACTATTTTCTGCATGCCACTTCATTTTCAGTAGTGCCACGATCCAGCATTGGGACGAACATGAAAGAAGAGTGGAGAAAATCGTCTGCATTATAAGTTGTAGATTTTTTGTGGTGATGGGTGTTTCTTTTAGTGCCAGAGAGAGATGTTATTGGTGGCTCATTGCCATGCATATTGTTATCTTCTTTTTTTCCCAAGGAGTCTTAGTTAAAAAACCTTACTAAAAAGGTAATTGAGGGAAGTTGAGAACAAAGCGATGAGACAAAACACATCATTCTGCTACACAAATGCAGCTTAGGAAGCTATTTTGTCTCTTGACTGAAGATTTCCTGGGAAACAGTAGAGGAAAATAGCTCCATCTATAATATGTGATTTAATTGAAGTGATGAAAAGTACTGATCTATGCTGATGTATTCCAGTACCCTTACTATAAGAAATCACCTGCTTGATTGAAAGCTGCAAATTGTACTTTGGAGAGCAGAGATGGAACAATATGCTGTTGCTAAGCTACTGGAGTTTTTATGACCCACTCTTTATTTACTTCACAAAACCAGAGCAAATGAGACTGTATTTTAAGAATCTGTATTTCAGATCCCATATGGAATTAGAAACCTGGTGATCTTGCCTGAAAATAGGTTTGATGGCTTTTTCTGTTAGTGTCTTAAGTTCAGATATGGTGCGCCTTCTTGATGCTTTTTGTAATACTTCCTATTCAGTCGTCAACAGGAAGGTCTGCATTTAAAAGAAGCTGTTATTATCATTGCATCCTCTGCTAGTTAACAGACCCCTAACTAGGATAAGCCTTAGGGTTGTCTTATTGGTTAAGTGTTAAGAAACTGGATGACGTGGAGTGTTTCCTTTCCCCTGAAGGAGCCAGGTGAAGACAGTAAATTTTCTTGGCTTTCAAGTTACGTTTCTCTGAGAAAAAGCCTAATACTAGCCCAGCTTTTGTGAAGAGAAGCTAAAAGGGCAGAGAAAGCTGGTGTAACTCCCATAGGTTGTTATCAGTGTCTTCTAACTTGTAAACCTAGGCTGTGAATATCAAATATGTTTGCCTTTTTCAGTTCTGACTTGTGACAGTGATACGGTTTTATTTGAGGGGATAACATTGTAATTTGTTTTCTCTCCTGACAGCCTCCAAAGGTAAAATGCCTGACAAGAATCTGGCATCCAAACATTACGGAGACAGGAGAAATCTGCCTAAGGTACCAAAAGCATTCTATATTTTTAACCTTAGAGGTTTATCTGTGTGATAAAATGTTTCTATGTAATTTTCGTGTGGGTATGTTTTTCAACAGATCCTGCAAATCTGACCCTTAAGAACTTTGATATCTACTGAAAGTATTGTTCTTGCTGTCATTAGAGACCATGAAGAACCTGTCTTTTCAGGTTCAGACTTATTATTTTGTTCTATTTGAGGTAAAAATGTAAACTCTAACCTAAACAAAACAGAATTGTTTGTTTCCTTCCTGTAAATAAAATGTTCGTATGCCCTGAGAGGGCTTAAGGCTTTACTTGTTTAATGCCTGAATGTGTTCATACAAGTATTCATATAAATGCTTGAAAACTGTTTATATTTCAGAGAGGAAGGAAAAAGGTCCCTTAAACTTTGACAGTAACTGTTTTATATTTTCCCTTTATTTTAACATTTAACACTGTAAGACACATGCACCAGTTACAAGAAAACAAAGTTGGGGCAGTGCATGTCAAGATAGAAAGCCCGAAAGTTTCACTGAAGTAAGAGGCTTATGTTGCTGGGTGCTTTTCCTTGATTGTAAATATTTCCTCTTTAAAATCAGTTTCTGAAATGCTGTAATTTCAGTGTTTCATCCTGACTACCTCCTGGTGAAATTGGCCAGAAACCAATCAGAAACAGAAGTGAGAAGCATGACTGTCATCTCTCAAGTTAATGGGACATGAAAGTAGATGAAACAGAAGCAATGGCTATAAGTGAGACTGAAGGCTGTTCTGAAAATCCAAAACAGTTGCCACCATGTGTAGCAAATTGGTGCCTAATAAAAAGCTAAATTTTTACCCTAGACTTAAAAATTATTTTAGTGCCGTGTTCAAGGTCCTGGTGAAAATGAAATTGTCACTGGGCAATCTGCCACACTATAGACAGGTCAGGCTCATCAGCTGATAACAGGTAAAGGGCTGATACCAGTGCTTTTAGCCATAGTGGTCTGCTCCATGCTTCTGAGAAGCTCTTGTCATCAAAGGGTGATAGAAACCAGCCTGAAGAGGCTCTAGTACATTCCTGGTGCTCGCTAGTGCCAGACTGCAGCAGGATTACAGGCAGCAAGGGCTGGTGTCCATAGACCTTACCTTCCTTGGGGACTGGAGGGTTTAAAAGCACTGGGAAAAATGTACTAGATCCTCTGAAACTACAAAAAGATCTGGTTGTCCACAGTTATTTGAAGTTGTATTGCTGGTGATACAAGAAGTTGTTTTGGCAAATATGTATTGCTACTTCTAGCAATTCTGTAGTGTTTTTCAATGCCTTCTCATTTGACAGTAGGGAAACTGATTTGCAGTTTAAATTCCATGCAAGTCCTTGTGGCTTAGTCAGTGGAGAAAGCTTAGATAATGTGAGTCTAATAGCGCAAGTAAAGGAATGAGTAAGTGAACTGTTTGGAATCAGGGAACAAGAAATACTGGACACCAAATGACAGCTAAAAGTTTAACCTCTGACTACAGGGCAGCATCTTCTGAGGTTAAATAAAGCCTCCCATTCTTGAGGATATGTCACTGTTTCTTGTCCTTAAACAGTTTTAGTCATGAAAGATGAATGTAGTGTTGGACCATCATAGTTCTGCTGAAGCATGTCTTCAGTATTTGCACTGAAATGTCAGCTTTATTTGATTGTCAGATACTTCAACATATCAAACCTTTGAAATGTCTTGCCATTTAGTTGGGAAAACTAAAATAACTTTGATTGCTTTATGCCTGCTATAATGGAGCATGCACTTTATATATAGTACCTGCAATCAATTTATTCTAGAGTCTTTACATTAAAATAGCTTCAGTTATTTTTAAAAGCAGAAAAAAATTCCTCATTGGTGTTCTTCCCAAGTGTCTCTTTACTGAACTTACCTCACACCATGGTACATGCTGGTTTGATAATCATCCCTGAATTAAAACATACCTAATTATTAAACTTGTGGTCAAGTGTAATAGTTTTGGGCAGGAAAAGTGTGGTTTCTCTCTGTTTTTGCACTGTGGTCACACTGGACCATACTTGTGGGTATTGCCTCCACTGCATATGTGGATGAAAAGCATCAAGATGCCTAGAAGGGATATGCTTGCATACTACATAGGCCAGTTGACTACTCTTTTGACAGTGTGCAATGCATGTCAGTGTTTTATTTTTTAACTCTGATTGATGTGATTTCTGCCTGAGGTGTTTGGTTTGGGGTTTTTTTTCTCCTTGACGACATAAGGTTTTAGAACAGTTTAATCACTCATAAATCTCACTGCTTTTCTGCCATGTGGTGAGGTGGTCAGTGTTGTCAGATTTGTCTTTTTCAGCAGTAAATGTTGCTAACTAAAGTTTGGTTGCTTCATGAGGTAGTATTAAAGGCTGCTGAATGGAGAAGTGTTTGGAGACTGATTGATTGTATCACCTAGTTTCATAGAATCATAGAATACTTGGGGTTGGAAAGGACCTTAAGATCATCCAGTTCCAACCCCCCTGCCATGGGCAGGGACATCTCTCACTATGCCATGTCACCAAGGCTCTGTCCAACCTGGCCTTGAACACTGCCAGGGATGGAGCATTCACAACTTCCTTGGGCAACCTATTCCAGTGCCTCACCACCCTCACTGTAAAGAACTTCTTCCTTATAGCTAACCTGAACTTCCCCTGTTAATTTTGGACCCATTACCTCTTGTCCTATCACTACAGTTCTTAATGAAGAGTTCCTCCCCAGCGTCCTTGTAGCCCCCTTCAGACACTGGAAGCTGCTCTGAGGTCTCCACTCAGCTTCTCATCTCCAGGCTGAACAGCCCCAACTTTCTCAGCCTGTCTTCATACAGGAGGTGCTCCAGCCCCTTCCTTTTGGCCTCCTCTGGCCTTTCTCCAGCAGCTCCATGTCCTTCTCATGTTGAGGACACCAGAACTGTACTCAGTACTCCAAGTGAGGTCTCACTAAATGAGCTTTCCAGTGCTCCTGTATCATACGCCTGTATGATACAGCAAAGTCCTGGAAATTCTAGAATAGCCACTTCAAGTAAACAGGTTTTCCTGTCCATCAGGTGTCTTGAAACTCTGGTAGAACAAATTACTTTTGTGGTGTATGAAGCAGGTTGTTAAAGGCAGCCTCTTGAAGCACTGAGTGAGTGAGAAACTCTGCTGATAGTGCCGTTTGAGAACTTGTACTAGCCCAGCTCCTCTCTGGCAGTAGGACCCATGAATGATAGGTCTTTGAGCAGAAGCTGCATGCAGATGTTCATCTATCAAACTAGTTCATAATATGGTTTGTGTTTCTATTCATTTAGCATTCATTCTGCTGTGTGTATGATGCTTGGAGAGCACGTCACCATTCAGACCTCAGAACTGTCTGACAGTTATATCTAGGTCATCCCCATGGAGAGCACAAGATGCAGTTTCTCTAGACACCATGTGCTGGGGAAAGATTTTAAATAGGGGCCTAATGATCATTCGGAATCTGTAGGAAGGAGGAGGATGCTGCTCTAAAAATGCATCAGCACATGAGAAATTCTTTATTTGGGTATCTTTGTTGCTTTTCTGCCAGAGCTCTGAGAAGTGTGAGTGTCTCCTCTCAAGTCCTGGCTGCTGGAGATGTGCCGAGAGAGCTCTGAGGCATTGGAGGCTGGGAGGGTGTTAATGAGGCTTAGCTGTTGTGCTCAGGCAGTTTGAGCTCCGTCAGTGGAGATTTTCATCTTTTTATTGTGTGTGTTAACTTCTCACTTTTAAGTTCACAGTGAGATACATGAAGAGGCAAAGGGGAGTACTGCAGCACAATTTGATGAGGAACAGACAGAAAGCAAGCTAAGAAGTTGCTACTTGCTCAAAAGCTGAAAATCCTGGCTCTTGCCA